TCTTTCCCTCATCAACCCCTCCCTCGTCCTCATCACTGGCGACCTCACAGGTTCCTCAACTTTCAATTTTTAAGCTATTCATGTTTCTGGCCTGTCAAATAACTGTTTTTTCTTCTTCTTACAATTTAATTGGAATGCGTTTTCATTTTCATTATGTCTAGTTATAAACGACACAATAATTTTATTGGATTTTTATAATAATTATTTTAAAGAAGAATGTTGGTAATATATTTCGGACTTGTTAGCATCGCTTTTACTTTAAAAGTTAGAATTTAATTAGAATGTAAAGATTTTTTACATTGTCATCAGATTGTACTTTTATAATAACTAATTTAAATATTATACCTGCAAGAATTTCTGATTAGTTGATGCTAAAAAAAAATCTTTACATTCATATTTACATGAAAATTGAACTCTGAAAATTTTATTTAGATGTGGTTCGGTTTATAATTAGTATGAAAATTAAACTCTTTGTTCTAATGTTGTGGGTTGTGGGCGTTTTTATATGTATTAGATGGTAAAAGCAAGGATTTGTTAACAATGAAGCAGAATGAGGATGAATGGGTGGAATATCGGAATACAATGGACGCTGTTATTGAGAGAAGTGGACTCCACAAGAGCTTGTTCTTTGACCTCAGAGGCAACCATGATAGTTTTGGTGTTCCGGTTGTTGGTGGTTCCTTTGATTTCTTTTCTAAATACAGCATCAATGGGCAGTTAGGAAGAAATGGGAGTGTCAATAGTGTCACGCTTGAGGTCAGTGTCGCCCATTCACTTTTACTCTTAAGTAAATATCATTCTATGAAATTGAAATGTAACTCTTTTCCTGACTAAAAATCAAGTTTTAAAGTGTTATTAACATTTGCAGTGAACATATTGTACTGTGGAAATTTTAATGGATCATTTGACAGACTCCATTTGGACCATGGAAGTAAGGGTCGTAACCATTGATGAGAAAATTAACCAATGAAACCATGATGAAATACAAACAAATGTAATGAATTATAAAATTGTTACTCAAGCTTTTTTACTGATGTGTTTTCTGTCTGCAAAATTATAAAATGCTGTACTAGCCAATTGAAATTCCCAAAATATTATTTTGTCCTCTGTCATTTTGTGGACTTACCATTGAACCATTGGTGTTGGTCAGGATATTCCTCAGTTCTGAATAATATGCATTTATATGTTTGGAGTATACTAAATAATTGAGAGCTCTCAAATTGTAGGCTTGATTTTTTTTTATTTTTTATATTATCATATTATTTGATGCTATGATGCTCTTCCATACTCATTGTTATTTACTTGCATTGTATCACAGACTCCGGAACGGAAGCATCTCTTTGTTGGGTTTGATAGCACTATGTTAATTGGCTTACGAGGACCAACTAATCTTTTCGGGCATCCCACAGATCAATTACTAAAGGATCTAGACTTGGAACTCTCACAGTGGGATTCTCAGTCAGAAAAACCCGTTACCAAAATTTCCTTTGGGCATTTTCCGCTCTCGTTTTCTGCACCCTCTAGTTCTGGAAGGACCTTGGAAGATGTTTTCCTAAAGCATTCCATATCTGCTTACCTGTGTGGGCATCTCCACACTAGATTTGGTAAGAACTTAAAGCGGCACCATCAGTTGAGCAATCATGTTTCATCCTTTCAGAAACTTTTTCAGTTTAATATACACCAGAGTTCTTTCGAAAGTAATGTAAATTGTTCGGTGGGAGCCCCGCCAGTTCAAGACTTCTGGGAGTGGGAAATGGGGGATTGGAGAAAGAGTAGAGCCTTTCGAATTTTAGCCATTGATCGAGGCCGTGTTTCATATGCTGATGTTGATTTCAAATCAGGGACCAAACATGCAATTATATTGCCTACTTTTCCATTAGACTCTCGCTTCATGCTAACATCTTCATGCTATCACAGCTATGAATGTCAATCAGCGCCCCCTTCATCTTATGAGACAATTCGAGCTCTGGTATTTTCTGTTTCTCCTGTTGTATCAGTTGTAGCTAGGGTCTACGATTCACGATCTGGAAACCTTGATTTAGTAGTAGAAACACATATGACCAAACATGCTGATGAGAACTCCAGGGGGGACCTCTACGTTGCTCAATGGAATTACAAAGCCTTTGAGGATGCTTCTCCTGATAGATTTTGGCTTCAAATTGAAGCAAAGGACCACATGGGCAGATCAACTTTGTCCGAATTGAGGCCATTTTCTATCAATGGTTATAGCTTCCAACTTTCTTGGAGCTGGAAGGAGTTTTTTGTCATGGGATGTCAATGGGCTGCCCTTTATTACCCATTATTCTGGTCTGCACTTTCCTTTATGCTCATATTCCTTCTTTTTCCAAAAGCTCTCCTTGGTTTTTCAAAGAAGATATACACTTACAAGAATTTCATCACCAATAAAGGCTTAGTAAATGGTGTACTATGGTTTCTCCAGGAGCTTTGCAGGGTCCACACATTATGGTTTGGTTGGATAGGTTACCTATTTTATCTTACATTGTTCCCCTGGTTTATTGGGCAAGTTTTTACTGAAGGGAAAAATATGGTATACATGACCTGTATGGGGTGGGTTGTAGAGACTAATAATGGAAAGGGGAAGCATGAGTTTGTTGGATCTCCAGATATTATGGTGGTGGTTCTTCCCCATTTATTGTTTGTGGTTTTGCCTGCAATTTTGGTCACTGGTGCTCTAACAGCTGAAGGAGCAATTTACCGGGAACAAATGCTAGCATTTATAGGGAAGAAAAAAGATGATCTTCATGTGGGCTCTAGAAAATTAAATGGCAACCAGAGAAGCATGGTATCTGATGTTCATCTTGGCAAGCGATGGATTCGGAAGCTTCTTTGTGTGGTTTGTTTGGCAATATGTTGGAAACATTTTATGGTAAGGCTTAAACTAATACTTTGCACTGTGGTCCATGCAAGCAAAAAATAGTATACATTTACTATAATAGAGGAGCCTAAAGGATAGTTAATAAAGAATGTAGTGCATTAACCAAAAAAAAAAAGTTGGTATAACACTAACAGGATTACAATTATTATGTTTCTTTTTTGGGGGGTCCTGGTGGGAGAGGGAATGAGAAAAAAAAAAATAGATACATTACCTAAGGTGCTTTTAGAGTTTTAGCATTTTTTTTCGAATAAAATTAAAGTTTCACTTGAATAACTTATGCAATAAAGGTCAATATTAAATGTTAATACTAGTTTACTGAGATGAAACTTTGATTTTAGCTATAAGGCCTGTTTGGATGAGTTTATTCATAAGTACTTCTAAGAAAGAAAAATAGGAAGAAAAATTGAAATAAACTTTTCTATATGAAGCTAAAACTAGCATGATCATGAGTTAAAAATAAGATTTTGGAGAAGTTAATAGGAGAAAACTTCTGCAAATTAGTTTATATATAAACTAATTTTAACTTATGGAAAAGCAATTTCATTTTAACTTTCTAATTTCTATCTTAAACATTGAGAAAGTTTATCCAAATAGGTTCATAGAATAATAACACTAATAGCACTTAAAATTTTACAGCTAAATTTCGCTATCTTACAAATTCAAGACATTTTTTGGTTGTCCTTGTTTTTCCCCATTCTTTTCCTTGTTTTGTTCAATTTGTCATTTACTTTACTATTCCATTACAGAATTGCAGAAATCTTCTAAAAGCTTATGAGATGAACCCAGTACTCCACTTCCTGGGCTATGGTATTTCAGTCCCCTTGTTGTTGGCACATGCTATCTGCAAAACCAGAAATGCTGAATGAAACTTGTTCCAAAGTTTCACATGTAGTTCCAAGTCTCCATGTTTTGAATGCAACAAGAGGATACACTTTGGTTGTGTTGTCGGAGTCAAAATTGGTTGAAGCGATATTCCTCTAACTCATCTAGAGGCAACAGGAATGCTGGTTGTTTGGCATATTCCTCTTACTCATTCATCACATCATTCACGATGATATTTCTGTTATATGTATTATTAGGCCTTGCCCTTGGTAGTTTAAGTTATAGTTGATAGAAGAACCAAAAAGGACCTACGCAGGATACACTATGGTTTAGTAGTGGTTTTGCATGGGTTGAAGAAGTATGCAACAAGTTATTGCAATGGCCGAGTCACTTTGTAAGACTAGACCTTACAGTATTGAACAAGGTTTTAGAATATAAGTATACGATTTTCTCCTATCCAAAACTTGGTTCTTCTAGCCTTTTTACACACTAAGAAACATTTATTCATATACATACACTAAATTATTCTCATTTATTAATTTACAAATTTCTACAATATTTTCAACTACTTCATCGATATTATTGTAAAGCATAATGCTCCACTTAGAAAACACTAATATTTCAATTAAACTAGTCTTAATTATTCAACTACACATTGGAGTATAATTAAAGAAAATTACATAAAGATGTGTTGAACTTCTAAAATAACCTAACTTTCAAAACAAAATTAAGAAGCTAAAAGAATCAAAATTTAGTTTTGGAACGGAATGAGTACTAATTAACTGTTGGATTATGAAGTATTAATGTGATAAATAGCAAATTAAAAATAATTCACAAGTATTTAATCTATTAAAAGGCATTTACTTCTTTTTAAAATATTAAAATTAAAGTGCAATTGGTCTTTAAATATTATAAAAAATAATAACGTCATTAATTTATTAAAATATTTAATAGAATCAAACTATGGAATCTTTTGCATTATAAAAAAGTCAATTGCTTTGATATTCTGCCTTTTTTATCCACTAATAATAAAATACCAATTTGAAAAACAAGATTTAGTGATGTGTTATTTTTTCAGTTGGAGATACTCAATCATTTTTACTAAAGTCAAACATTATTAGATAACTAGATTTGAACATATTGCTTCAGATTCAAATTTTTATCCACATATTAAAGAAAGACTTAAAAAGAAAAGTCACTTTAATAATCTCTATAATAAAAAGTTCCAAGTCAACTAAATTCAATCATTTTCAACTGCTATTTTAACACCCTCACTTGATCTCACTCCAGGTACTTCTAGAATTCTTAAAAGCAAGAGAAATTAATGAACCACGGTCGCCCGAGCACTAGGTAGTTGGAGTAATATATGCATAAAATCCTAAACTACAACTTCACCGCTTGTTCATCAAAAGCTATAAAAGGAAATAAAGGCAAATCCAGTTTCATGGGCCAACAACATCAAAACATGCTTTTTATGAAAGTTACTGTCATCCAATTCAATTATGAATTTATAATGAGCAATCAAATGGCGTAGAACACTTTATTAAATATTTCTTATGATTATTTCCATTCCACTACTCGACCCAAAAATATTTTCCCCACCTCATTGTCATTCTGTTCCATTAACCAAACCCACTCCAAAACCATTTTTAAAAATTAGACACGCTGTATTTTTAAAACAAATTTAGATTATATTTTAGACCATCCTAACTTAATCCAATGTTAATTAAAACAATTATATTTTAATAGTAACATTAGCTTAGTGGACAACATTTTATATAATATGATATATTCATACCAATATTATTTATTACCTTGAAATACATATTATAAACTACATCTTAATTACAATTTTATACTTCACCTCTATCCTATGATTTAATTATGTAAAATATTAAAATTAACAAATTATTTCAACATTCAATACATTCAAATAAATGACTAACAAGGCAGATAAATTCATTCCATGAACTATTACTAAGTATGCAAAAGGGATAAAAGAAACCCCCAAGAAATGGGGTGATGCAAATAGTATTTCCTCTTTATACAATACAGTCAACAAATGTTTATCAAGTCCAAACTTGGAAAACCAAGTAAACAGTATTGTCATAATATAGTAATCAGGAACTTGCCCAGTGGTAAATGAGAATCAAGTGCAACCCACTATCTCCAACTTTTACCAAAAAAAAGTCTAAGCTGAGATATCTGAAAAGTAGCAAAAATGCCACTGGGCAACAAAATGTGGAACACTAAATATTATATGAACTTTGTGGTCGTTCATCAATGGCAGAAGACGACTTCAGGGGTGGAAGTGGTGAAGTTTCACCAGGTTTCACACCTTCACCAGCTGGCGGCAAGCACCTTTTAGAAAAAAATGCAGCAATACTCCTCGGTCCCCCACTGTTTTTTTCTGTCAGTTTAACCAGACATTAGTTTAGAAATCGAACATAACTCAGGTGAAGTGATTGGGACAGTCAAAATTGCATACCATGTTTAACTGCCAAGCCAAGCTTATCCAAAACTTCTTTCTTCACCTGGATAAAGATGAGAAAAATAAAATCAGCATTATAGGTACACACTCAGACATAAACACGAAGCAGTATATACAATCCCCAGACAGTCAAAACAGCAATGGTTTAATCGGTATCACAAGTCATATATCTATACAGTGCAAGGTGGTTAATATTTATGCAACTGAAATATACTTAAACCATCAATTTTTAATGAATTTCACTGTTGAAAATAGAAGCATTTGCTAGATTGTGAGATCACCCATACAAACCTGCAAACGGTTATCAACATAGTCAGATACTTCACGCACTTTATTCTTCAGTGATGACTTAGATACAGAAGGGAACTTCTGTTGCAAAGACACTAAAACTTTATTCATACCCTGAGAACAACTTTGAATAGTAGTTACCTGAAAAGTTAATAAAACCTTTGTAACATGATAAAAATTGTATGATATGACATAAAATTAGCCACAAATTATGAAAAAATAGAGAGAAAATTAGAAGAGCAGCTTTCCTAAATCAACCTGCACCTGGCAAGTGTCAGCTCAACTGACATTTTGATTGATTGATCCCTCAACCAACTTAACTTTAAACTATGACTACATTGTGTCTAGCAAACTATACACACATCTTGATAGATACTTGATAATTATGCAACTCAAATGTTGAAATGCATAACTTACAATTATGTTAAGGTCTGAGTCGGGTATTACAGCTACACCAGATATTGGACTAGCACCACCTTTACCGGTGGAGAGGCAGACTTCTTGGTCCTCATCCTGCATTTTATCCATAGATAATTCTATATATGAGCTGCCAGGAATTGGATACATACTCAAGGCTTGCAAGCACATCTGCTCCAGCTTAGAAGTACCACTAATATTGTTATCTGATATAAACTCCTTTTCATGAATCAAATTTGATATAAACAAAGGTTGATTTTTCCGGAGAGCATGCTCTGTCAAATTGTTTAGATATTTCTGCTGCCGAAGTAAAGCACAGAACTCCTCGGTCTCTCTATCATCCTTACAGCTAGGTGGGCTATCAGCCCCCTCAATGTCATCGTCTATTTCCATTCTATCCACTTGTGCACCCTACATATAAATAAAAGCAATTTTACTGAAAGTTGTAGTGGCTTTCTAATTACTGGCATGTTTTTTGTTTTGATTTTAAATTTTTAAAAACTATTTTATACATTTTTTAGAGAATAGGAGTGGAAGAAGAAAATGTGATAATACAAGAAAAACATGAGTAATAAAAAAACTAGAACTAGAAGACCAAAACAGATTAAAGATATTCAAGTTTTTTATCTTAAAAACTACAAATTAGATACTATTTAAAACAATTTTAAAAAACTACTCTTATCAAACAAGTTTTTTTTTTTTCTTGTTTTTAAAAACAGGAAATAGTTTTCAAAAAATAGGAAACAAGCAAGCCCTTGATCTTGCACATACCCCAGCCTTTGCCATTGGCTGATAAAAAGAAATAACATGCATGGATATTGAGACACTAAAAGATCCAAACATCACTCATCTACTTGGAATCATTGAAATGCAAAACACTGTAATAACAAACTTAAATTGATTACAGTAAAAACACAGTCCCAACCTCATCTTCAGAGAGATATCCATCTGGTACAAAAAAACCATCTTCACTTTCATCATCAGACTTTGAACACTCCTCTTGACATTCCTCTTCATCTTTATCACAATCAGAAAGACTTTCACCCGGTTCCTCCTAAAATGGACAGAATGTTGTTACAATATGGATAGCATCCATTGTATATTAATTCAATCAAATACAAAAATTTAATGCACCTCTTCCCATTCCTCATCGCTGCTGACATCATAATCCAGGCTTGGATCCTTCCTTAAAGGATGGCGTGGTCCAACAACATGACTAGAAATACATATTTTAATACACATAAGCAATCTCAACCAAAAATACTGAAATATCTATAACATACCAAAGTAAAATTACTATTGATATTAGCTCTAAAGTAATTATTTATTATTGGCATTTTGAACCCACAAATGAGCCTCTCACACCGGTGACAATTTATCTGCATAATTAGAATTTAAAAGACTAACTAAAACAGTTGAATTATTGGAGTTTCCCATTTTTAAGTATATACCATAGTGTATCCTATTAAAAGTCAAATTTAAAATCATTCATGAATCATAATCTAACCTTTTTGTGGGCCAAATACCAAAAAAGGCAGGTCTATGAGATTTATCGAACTGTAATAATTGCTTCCCCCGACTGTACTTCTTGGCATCAAGAGGAGAACTATCTGTATTCATTGGGCATGAACTGATATCAGAACTACATTCTCCCAATCTGTCCACATGTTTCTCCACGTCCAACTCATCATCATGAACTGCAGTTTTAATAGCTGTCAGCTTAAGTTCCTTAAAAACTTGAGTCCTAGGTTTCTGGCGTAAGCCCCATCTCTGTTTCCTGTTTGAGCGAATTGATTGTCCTAAACAGCGCCATGAAGAAAAGAGTGACCTGAAAAATGAAACATTTTTTTAGTAAGATTTGAAAAAAAAACAACTAGTATCAAGAATGGTAAAACAGTACAAGAAACTTACCTCCGAATATCCTCAAGTGCAACATCACTACTTGATGCAAGAGTACAATCCATTGAGATAGTAGCTGACTCAAACAAACTTTCACTATTGCTGCTTGACAAATCAGATGCAGGTGATTTCACTGAAACTTGATCTTTCTGAGATGGGGGATTAATTTTACTTCTCTTAAGAAAACGCTCCATAATTGAGGCTTGCTTTTGTAAACTGCGCTTCTTTTTTAATTCAGCTTCTGCTTTCTCTTTGCGCCTTTGATCCTTTTCTGCTTCCTCCACCTGCTTCTTTTGCTGTTTCTTCTTTTCAGAACTTTTCTCATCATTTCTTGTCTCATCTTGTGACATTTTTAAATCTGATTCCTAAAACAATCAAGCAATTGAAGAAAATGTCTTGAATACTCAAGATAAAACTATTTTCAATTTTTCATCAGATGAATTAAGTCAGAAAACTAAGAATCAATATAATAACTACTATGGGTTAAAACAAATATCAGCTAATGCAACAGACTGTCACAATGCTGTCAACAAGTTGGGTGCCCATCCAACTTAAAACCTCCTGAAAATACTTTTTTTTTCTATTGATTATCTTCAACATCTTGGTAATAGAAATACACAAATTGAACATGTGTAAAAGTGATTCATGCCAATGAGAGCAACATCATGGAAGAAGAAACTTCGGCTATAAAGAACACACAATGGGATCAAAACAGCAGCACTTACATTGAGCAGTATTTCTCTTTGCAGTTCCTTGTGCATGCTTTCTTTCTCTTTCTCTGCTTCTCTTCTATTTCTCTCCAACTGTTTAATTAGCAATTTATTTTCTTGGTTTGCTCGTTTCTTGTCCCTGCAATTATATTTAAGAAAATCAAATCAAGCATCACACAAATTCACATATTTGAGGCAACAACCAAAAAATGTCCGGAATATTGTGCTTATGTACATTTCTTCACTGTTTTTCTGCAACAAGGCATCCACTAACAACCGTATATCTGCCTCGGGAAAAGCTTTACCGAGCTTTGCTGACGCCTTCATTAAACCATGATTATAATCTGGTTCACTCTCTAGCTTTTTCAAAGCAGCTATCATTTCTGAAAAGCAATTCAATTTAGCAAAACAATCATTAAATGAGCAAACAACCCCATTACCTAAAGTTCATCAGATAAGAAACTGTTGAAAGGGCCAAATACAATGAAACACTACAATAAATGTTAATCATGGCAAACTTTGGTATAATTATCAGTCATATAGCATTTATTAACATCATATTAAAATAAGAAGTTCTGAATTTCAATTTTAAATATGTTTTACAGATAAAATAATTAAACAAAGATATAAAATATAGCATCTAATTAGTTGTTGAGGGAATAACAAAGCAAATAACTCAACTCCTGCAAATTGCGATGATTGGTGTGAAACTAGTCATTTAAAACTTACATGACTCTTGGGTTTTATATAAACACTACCATTCTCTTCATTTTAAAGAATGAACAATATACTAAATCATCAGCAAGACAATGTATAGATAAGCAATAACAAATCATCACAAACCACAAGGACACAGAAATTAGAAATACAACTAGATATATAACTTTGGTTGTGATACAAAAAGTTAAACTACCAACAGCAAGAATTGAGAGTACACACTCTTCTTCCAAGAAAAAAAAATTTAATCAACTAATAAATTAATCATTCACATTACAAAATACAGTAGACACCCATAACTAGCTTCATCAGAGACAAAATAAGATACCAGAGACAGCCAAAATCCTCTCATGAATCCTTCTCCGACAAGTACGCCGAATACTGAACTCTCCTCGCACAGATTTTGACATCAATTTCATATCCCTGGTCTGCACCACGGATATAGCAACTCCATCAGTTACAATTACAAAACAACTAATGCCAATCTAGATCTCATTAAGAAACCCTATCCGACATCTTATAAATATTCAAGATAAACAAGAATTCTCAATCACCTCCCAACACCAGAGACAGGACTCAGCATGGTCCTCGAGTACGTCAGCATCAGCATTGGGCACGCCGTAAGTCACTCTCTGTCCCACCGACAACACGCTACTCTTCACCGTCGCATGAGTAACAGCCTCCGTCAGCACGATTGCGCCGCTACCGACTTCGCCGCTCAGCCTATCGTGAATCTCGTCAACGAGCCTCGACAGCGGAAGGTCGCTCTCCTCCATCAGAGCCGCGACGACAGCGTTTCGGGAACCACCGCACTGGCCAAGCTGGACGCACACTTTCTGCGCCATGACCTCCCGGTAGTACCGGAACAGCGCGTCGAGTTCCTTCTCGAGGGTTTCGATGTGCGCCTGCTTCTCCTCGGCGCTCTTTAGGTTTTGCAGCAGCGAGGGAACCTTCTTCTTCCGCTTCCGCGTGGTGCTCTTGGCTTGGTTTGATTTCGGATCTTGAGGCGGAAGAGGAGGAGGCCGAGGGGGAGAGTTTTCAGCGTCTATGATTATTGTTGGCACCGACATTTCCATTTATCGGAATTTGCGAGTGTTTGGAAGACGAATATCTGAAGAGCGAGCTAATTCTGTGAGATCGGTAAAGGAGACAACGGAAATCTACGAACCCTAATTGTTCTGGTGTGGTGCGTGGTTGAGTTGAAAGAGGGAATGATAAAAGTTAAAAATTATACACACGCCCATAAGAGGGAAATGGAAGTGAATTTCGCTTTGGCGCCAAAAATCACGTTTTGGCTCTATACCAAACGTTGTATTCCTTCCAGCAAATTTATATTCTGATCGGATCGGTGTCATCTTTGTTATATTTTAACTATATTTTAACAAAACAAAATAAAATATGAGTTTCTAATAAAAATATAATGATTGTTTATTACCTTTTCATATATAAAAAATGATAAATAAGTATAATTATTTTTTAAAAAAAAATAACGAGCAATTGCCATAATATTATAATTTTAAATTTGTTTTTTTATTTCAAAGGTTATTCAATTATTTTTAAATAAATTATTTTTTAAAATCAAAATATTATTGTAATATATGATTATATGTATGTGTATAATAAACAGCATTTAAAATGACATATCAGAATTATAGTAATATTGTAATTTTTTATCATATTCTAAAATCACTTTTTTAAATAATAATAATTTAATTATTTTTAGAATCAGACCATTCATATTTTTTTAAAAGAAAATTTATAAAATAAACTATTTTTTACTCTTCTTGTATTTATTCAAATGATTATTTTAAGAAATAAGCAATTTTAAAAAAATAGTAAATTATATATGTTTTTTTTTTAAAGTAACTTTTTTAAATGTGTATTTTTTTTATAATCATATAAACACATTGATAATGAGATAAGAAGTGGATCTAGTTTTTCTATTATAGCATCTTCATATTTTATTTTTTATATAATCACTTTTTTTAATCACTTTTCACAATTTCACAATTTGACCATATTAACAAGTGTGTCTGAGTCTAAAAAGTGCATTGGTAATAATTAAAGGAACATAAATGCTCTTCAGATATTTAAAACTATCAACTTCCACTCATAACACTTGCAAAAATATATAATAATTGATATAAAAACTCATAATGAGATAAAGGATTGAATTTGAATCTTGCACTGTAACATCTTCTTGATTCATTTTTCATATAATCACCTTTTTTATCACATTTTACAATTCAAAAAAAAATGATAATGTTAAGAAACCAATAAGTGATAATTAATTTTACACTAAAACCTATCATTGAAGAGCTACAACAAATAAGATAAAGACTAAAATATTTTCATACATGTCTTCAAAAGTTTAAGAAATACATTATTTATAACACAATAGTTACACAAATGACTCTACAAGTGTCATCATCTAGTATTTAGGAAATTAAAACTATAAACTATATAATATTTTAATATCATTCTATTAATTCACTTAATTTAATTTATTTCTCTTGGGCTTTATAAAGTTTATCATATCACAAACCTAGAAGCTTGACCACATGTGAGTGGATCTGAGTCTAGAAAGTACATTGGAGACAAGAGTGACAAGTTTTATAATATCTTAAACCACCAACTTCAACTTATAACACTCTAAAGGATATTATTATTATTATTATTATTATTATTATTATTATTATTATTATTATTATTATTATTATTATTATTATATAAACAGATAGGGAGAGTAAATTTGAATTTTGCATTGTAACATCTTTATATTCATTTTTCTTATAATCACTTTTTACAATTATATGAAAGTTAATGTGGGTAGAAAAT